ACCTTGCCATGCACGGTATGATAGCAAATTTGTGGCAAGAATAGGACAAACCTTGCCATGCACGGTATGATAGCAAATTTGTGGTAATTTTATATACAGGGTGATTCAGGACTTTTATGACAAATTCTGAGAAACGATAAATCTCGGAGAAAGGACTTTTTTTTTGTGAAACAATCCGTTCTTTGACGCGTCGTTTATTAGAAGCTATATATATATATGCGACCACGCAGACAAAGTCTTAGATGACATTTATTATAATTATGAATTATATATATGAGAAAAATTTATTGTTTCAAGTACACTTGCGATAGTTTACAGAAAGTGTTCAAAGTGTCTACCCTAAACTTCTGATTGCACTCTGCGCTATAGTTGGTCTCTTGCTGTCATCTACGTAGCTCATTTATTTGAAAGGTACAAAGGTACATTGATGCCAAAAAATGCAAGCAGATTTAGGGTAGATTCTTTAAATACCTTCTGTAAGCTGTCTGCAAGTGTACTTGAAACAATAAATAAATAATTCATCTTAATTGTAATCAATGTCACCTAATTAAGACTCTTGTCTGCGCAATCGCATAGCATCTAAATGACGGATGAGAGAACATTGGTTGCTTCACAAAAAATGGTTTTTTGTGTGAGATTTATCGTTTCCCAGAGTTTGTCGCAGAAGTCTTGAATCACCCTAAAAATTAATTGTACACAAATTAATAAAATTTTAGTTTATTTATACATTAATTAAAACAAACACAAACATTAAAATAAAATATTTCTTTAATATAAACACAAATATATAGGTGATTCCATATCAAATTGAATAAAAATAACCTCATATTTCTTAAATTGATTGAAACTTTTTTCACGTGCATATGTAAAAAAGGTTTCGATCAATTTAAAAAATACGAGATTAAAATGGTTGATTTTTATCCGATTTGGTGTGGAATCATCCATATACAAAAAGAGCATTTTTAAATCATGGCTCTGAGAAGTGCCAATATAAAAAAGATGGTTTCCCGTTAGTGGCACTTAAAAGTACCGATATGATATGCGAATCGAGGCGAATTTCATCGTTCGATAATTTCAAATGTGGCACTTTTCAGTGCCGCTTTGGCCAATGAAAAGTGCCGATTGGCGCTGAAAATCGCCGATTGATTTTTCTCTTCCTTCTTCCCCTTTTGTCCTCATTTGTTTGTCATCTTCTTTTCCGCTTCCTGTATGCCTACAACAATCGACAAATTGTTTTTCTGCTAGTTTTCAATATTGCGGAATGTAAAAGATTACAGAATGAACAATATGGCTAAAAATTAGTGGACAATTCTCCGTCTGTTTCAAAATTTTTAACTCTTTTTACTAATGATGTTCAGTCTTCATTTCACCATCTTTTTAAATTTCTAGTCTAATTCCATTACTCTCTCTCTTTCTCTCTTTTCTCTCTCTCTTTATGTCCCCCCCCCTCCCCCCTCTCTCATATGCAACTATTTATTCCATATGACAACAGCTGCATGCATGCCGCAGAGCATTTTACTTATTAAAAAGAGAAATAAACATTATACATTATTTGTTATTGTTTTCTTTTTCATTTATCATTATTAAATATATTATATTCAAGAGATGCGAAACAGAAAAACATTGTAACAAATAAAAAAAATGTTAAAAAATGTGCAATCAATTTTAATTTTAAATAGAACAATAATATTTTTATATAAGTAAGTCAAAAAGTACAATATGTAAAGACATAAATATTACCATAAAAATAAGTACGGTCGATGAAAAATACCGAAAGAAAAAAGCTAAAATATTACAATCAAACGCTAAGCTTTGAAAAAGGAGACGAAAATATTTTTATATTATTACTTTGTAACTTGCATTACTTTCATTTTATTATACACCAAATATATCATCCTTTTATAATTAAAAAAGTTTTTTTTCTCGTTTAGAATTAATGTATTACCACAATATTTCTTTTTTTTATTACTACGTTTTCTATCTTGATATCTTTAGAATGTGACATATTTAATAATGACAAGTAAGACAATAAAAAATAATATATAATTGATGTACATTAATCTCTCTTTGGCTCTCATTGTTGTGTGAAATATATAGTCGCATATAAGAGAAAGACAAAAAGAGAGAGAGAGAAAGAGAGAGAGAGAGAGAGAGAGAAAGAGAAAGAGAGAGAGATTTAAAAGAACAAAAGGAACTTTAATAATAACACAGAACACACAATTAAACAAGGAACACAGAACGGGTAATAACGGTAATCGTATCTCAAATATGTCCGCCCGGAATGACATCCGTCGCGAAACTCAAGATGGCCGATCTCTCCCAAGATGTCCGCCGTTGTTTTAACAACAACGCTTAGCAACGTTTTCCCGGAGACGAATACAGCAGATTCATGAAACCGCCTTAGATCGACCCGCAGGGACGCAACAATATATTTCGATTATAAAAATTTCTTTGTTTAATGTATACTCACTGAATTTCTGGTCTCATATCATAAAATTCTCCTGTTCCTGGAGCTCGCGATGATGATGGTGCAGGGCTTGGCAGGCGACGAATTTCAATCGGCCAAGTATTTGAAGTGTGTAACTGAGTGTTATATGATGTATTTAATCTGTTACCAATATGTTGTGTGTGTGTTTGTGTATGAGTAACAGACGCATGTGGTTCGTGTGTGAATGTTTGCGTTGTATGATGAAAGTTTTGTGCGTGGGATAATGATTGTGATTTATCATGCATGAAAGGTGCTTGTGTTGTGTGATTAGTAGTTAATGGTTGTGTGTAAGCTAATGAATAAGTTGTATCATTGGGACAGAATGCTTGTGTTGTATGATTGACAGTTGGTTGTGTATAAGTCAATAAATGTGTTGTGTCACTAGTGTGTGGTGTATTATTGGCATGTTTGGTGTGATCAATTAAAGGTGTGTAAGTAAGTGAATGATTAGAGTGAGCATGCATATCAATATCGGGAGAATTATTTTCTAATACTCCCCGTAACTCAGCAATATCGTCTTCTAATTGGTTGCTCTGTAGCTCCACGAATGTTCTTCTCCCTGAATCCGCCTCGTCCGAAGATGTCGTCTGATATCGTCGCGGTTTGATGACAGTCCGTTTGGGACGTTTCTCCTTCTCCATATCTTTTTTTTCTGTAAATATATATATATGATATTAATTATAAAGTAAAATAAAAAAGTATAGATTCAAATGTTAGTTAAAAAAAGAAACCAGTAGAGTAGTCGTTGTATAGAGCAGTCAAGAAAATCATTATATGCAAAACAGTTCCTAAAAAAGTAAAAAAATTGGATCGTATTGATTATTTTATGAAATGAAATTATAAAAAATAGCAAATGAAACAGAGAAAAAGCAAATTTTTAAACATTTCGTATACTTACATATATATTTTTATGTTTTAAAAATAATTCCTGTTTTGTCAAACGCAGAAATGTAGAGAGCATCTAAAATGTTTAAAAAATTTAATTATCATTTCCATTCTAATTAGGCTGAATAAAAGAAATATATGAAACAATTATACCAACCTGTATTTTATTAATCATCCTGTGCGTGTGGATTCTATTTTCCTTCCTGCATATTATATCTAAGAGAACAGCTAAATGCAGTATTATTATTTTATAGATCATCTGTATGTATAATTGCAGCAACTACATACTCGCTAACTTCTGGCTCATCTTCATCACTACTACTATAATATATTGATAAACTACCCCAATAAGGCATTTTATAACATTTGATGCGTACTTGATTTACTTGGATACAAAAAATCTCACTACTTAATGCGCAACATTTATATATTTGAATTTCTGAAGACGAAATACCAACATCGTAGAATGAATCTACCTTTTGAAATTTCTTTACAACCAAATAATATATGGCTTTGTCCATGAAGATATTGACAATGAGGCAAATCGATCCATCGTGTAAAATACTGCAATTATTGCGTATATCCAAACAGAACAAAACTCCATTGAATACCAATTTACGATACTGACAGCTGCTGGGATTAACATTAGGCGGAAGAGGACCTCCATTATACGCTGCACATACTTGCGTAGAAGAATCAATGAGTTTGGAAAAATGAATTTGGGTACGATGTAAATTTGTTTCACGAGCTTCCATCTCTGCCATCCTATTGGAAAACTGTTGAAGAGGAAAGTTAGGTTTTCTACAGTATTTTCTAAAAATTGACATATTATTTTCATATGAGAAAGCAGAAAATGAATCAAGGGGGCCTAGCCGCCGCACATCATTTGTGAGATGAAGAAGACCGTGCACATTATATGAAATGAATGTTGAACCATAAAGATTCTCACATCGAGCAACAAATTTTTGTAGAACAAGTTCAGCAAAGTTTAAATATGCTTTTGACGGTGAAGTGGATACCAATATTCTTATGGCAGTATGCAAAAACAAAAATGAGTATATACTTGTTGATTCAGAACACCATACGTTACTACTGGACCTGTATATAGCAGAAATTGACGAAATTCTGTTGCCTTGTATTTAGTAAATGCATGAATTGCTCTAGGACGTCTTGCAGATTCTGATGGACAATATGTTTTAAGATTCTCTAATCTTTGAGATATTATAGCAATGGATCTTGCTATAATATCTCAATAACTTTGAAAAACGTGTATTTTTACCACATATCCATGCGGATAAAAGTTTCTTCATAATTCCCAAGCATACCAGATGCATATATTCGAAAGGAACTTGTGAAACCATATCTATAGGTAACATTGACAATGAACTTTTGCCATCTTTATGATGATCCTCATCTATACACTTGATATATTCTTCATATGTTCGGAGAGGATGATTAATACCACCAAACGTAAACCTGCCTTCACATCGTATACCTGAAACTTTACATTTTGAACATGGTTTTCCAGATGTATGGCCTCTATGATTAAGAACAAAAGCTCGAGCTGGTGCATCAGCTATTAAGCTTTTTATTTTTATTGCTATCTTATTTTTTTAGGATTTTTCGCTGTACAATAGTAGTATGAAACTATTAAAACTTAGAAAAATTCTTATGTTTATATTGCTTGAAAAATCAAATAAATAGATCTGGATAAAAAAAATTGAAGTATCACAAAATAATATGATTTTTAACGTCTTCATAGTTGCTGTAATTAATAATTTTCATAATTTATGACAAAAGTTTTTGGTCGTGAATACCTCATAAAATTAATTTCAACAAATAAAAAGACTAAAACAGGAAGATTTTAAGTTAGGTAAAAGTATTTTGCTATAATTTTTAGTAAATAACTTTTAAATAAGTAAAATTTAAATTATTAAATGATTATTATGATTTTATCAGTAAAATGATAAAATAAGATGGCTAATAGTAGACATCTTTTAGAAGTCTGTAAGGCTTCTCTTAGATATCTTTTTAGTCACTTTAAAGATTTTTTTAGATATTTTTTAGTAGTCTTTCAGGTTTCTCTTAGACATCTTTTTAGTTCTTCTTCTTCTTCTGTTGAATGGCTCCGGGCCCGACTACACTAGCCCATTCGGCCAAGTCGATGTATGGTGAAGACAGAGATTCTGCAGGAATTCTGCAGAGATTATGTCGAGTTATATCTTCGGATATTCAGATTGCATATTTTTTTTTTTTTTTTTAAGAAAGAGGCCAAGCATGAGATGATTCCAGCGGAGGGTATTGAGAGGGGGTCGAATGTGTCAAAAGGAAGAGGCTTCTTGGTTTTTTCCTCCAATTTCTTGAGCAGGCAAGGTCTATGATTTTGGTGTCTAAAAAAAGTTCCTAGAGTATGTTTTATATCCTGAGATGAGTATCCGCGATCCCATTCAGGCGAGGATGTGATGTTACAGCGATATTGACTGGCGTGTAGGTCGTAGTGATTACTTCTGATGCGGCATGCAGTGACTATTTCCTCGCGGACGAGGCCAAGCTTTGGAAACCAAGGCCTGGGAGAGAAGGAAGGGTGCAGGTTGAGGTTTAGTTTGCCTCTGAGATTGGATTGAGTGGTCGAAGCGCGGACTGATGAAGAGATGCAGTGAGTACGAGCCAAGGAGTGAAAATCGCTGTGAGGGAAGGGTTGAGAAACTGGCTTCCCCGTGCGGATGGCTCTTTTGGCGGGTAAATCGGCCGTTTCACCCCCTAGTATTCCCGAATGACTAGGGATCCAATTTACAGAAACATTGCAATTCAAAAGCATGGCTGCTCTGAGTCTTTCCTTGATTTCGCAGGTGAGATAGTTTAGGTCACTCAGGGGTTTTGCAGAAAGTAAGGTTTCGCCCAAACTTCGAGAAACGGTAGAAATAGAAGAGTTTGCTGTTTTGTTATCGAGTGTGTAGTCGGGGCATTTTGGCAGAGCTAAAGTTTCTCCTGTGAAGATGAAGGCCTGGCCGTCAATTTTGGAGAGAGAAGACTGAATCTGGGTTAAGCCAAGTTTCAGATAGCTCGATGATGTCGAATTCGAATTCGTTTGTAATTGATCTGAGCAAGTCAATTTTATTTGAGAAGGAGTGTCAGTTCCGTTGTAAGATTTTGATGGGAGAAGAGGAATCTAAAGCTGCGTTTTTGTTAGATTGAACCATAGGAAGTAGGAAGCGTGGGTGTGGGAAGGCAAGAATTGTCAAGATCTTGGAGGATTTTAAATAGGTCGTCTTGAATCCCAAAAGCTTTTAGGAGTGGGTAAATCTTTTCTAGAATGGTCTTTATGAGTGGTATCAAAGGGGAGAAAGATGGCTGGAATTCTGGGGATGGAGGAAAGAAGTGGGGAGCGGGGGAGTTAAGAGGAGGAGGGGAGTGATTGGAAGAGGGAAGGTCGGAGAAGAGGGATGGGGAGGGGGAGGGGGAGAGAGGAAGGCGATGCCGTTGGGATGTGATGGGAGACGACCGTCCGGAGAGATAAGATATGAATTTGGAGGGAAGGGTTGGTTGGTACCGGAGGAGGGGTTACGGTTATGTTGTTGTTTAGAATGAAGAGGGAAAGGTGAAGTTTTGTTGACAGCGGGGTGAGGATGCGAAGGCGAAGAGGAGGACGAAGAGGGAGCACCGTTATTAGAAGAAGAAAAGTGATATGGGTTGGGGGGTATCGTTTGTAGATTTTTTACGATGTTTGCATAAGATTGCGGGGAAGGAGTGGGAGGAGATGAGTGGTATGAGGAGTTGGTATACGGGATGGAGAGGTATAGGGTGGGAGAGTTATTTAGCTCAGGAAAGTTTGAGAAGTCAATGTGGTTAAGTTTACTGGTGTTGTTTCCGCGGATGGTTTTTTTGGCTTCTAGGATGGGAATATTCTTATGCGCGGCCAGTTCGAGAATTTGTTTTTGTAAGAGCCATTCGGGACAGGAAGGATCACTTGTCTTATGAGAGCCTTTGCAGTTGATGCATGATGGGGGTTGGTTTATTTTTTGGCAAGGAGAGGTATTATCATGGGATTTATCCCCACAGTGGATACATCGAGGCTGCCCTCTGCATTGGGACTTTATGTGTCCATATCGATAACAGGAGTAGCAGAGAGAAGGCTTGGAGATCAAGAGAGAAACTTCATATCTGACCATATACAAGTAGAGGAACTGCGGAACTGTCTGACTTTCAAAAGTAATTGCGATAGATTTGGAGGGTGAGTAGCTCACCGATCTTGTGGATGGATCAATAATCTTTCTGTTGAGCCTCCGCACGGAGATGATCCCGACCGAGCTGTCTATTTCTTCCTTGATAGTATTTTCAGCGAGGTCTAGTGGTACGTTTCTTATTACTCCTTGTCTCGATACTCTGTAAGAAGGAATATAGGCAATTAGGTTTTTCGAATTGAGGATTGGGTTATTGATTAGACTGTTTGTCGCCTCCCGCGTTTTAAGTTGGACTGATACTTTAGAGAAGCCTAGTTTCTTGATTTCTGTTATATCCTTTTTGAGAGTGGAACTGAGAAGACGGCCCACTGTGAGAGGGTGGATGGAAGAGTTGACTGATCCTATGGACGTAACAACAATTTCATAAGGTCCTTGTGAAGACTTGGTATATCTGTTTGCTAAGACAGCGTCTGGGATCTGCTTCGAAGCATTAAGCTTTTTTGGAACTGAATTTTCCTCGTCTTGAGTTTTTCAAGACTGTCTCTTGAGGGTAGAGGAACTAGTGTAGCCTTGGTCGCTTGCATCTTTTGAGATTCTAGAGGCGGACGAGGAGGGTTCATTATCGACACTATTTTCCTGATTGGACTGTGAAGTGAGATATTTTTCTTGAGTTGGCTCGATCTCCATGTCGCTGTCCGGAGACTCGCATGGCAGTGGAGGAACAGAGCTGGCAATCATATTTAGAATTGCTTCTTGCGTTTCAGAATCACTATCGTTCTTGGCGGTAAAGC